ATACACCTTTGGTCTTCACCCTGCACTAAGCTTTCACCTGTGGCTCCTAGAAGCTGTCAGCATGCAAAAGTGGCTGCACCTCTGGAACGCCTTTGACTGGCTGGCTGTACCAGGTGAGGGTAGCCAATACATCTCAAACCATCCGTGAGTTAGGGACTTTCCCTGCATGTAAAAACAGGCTCTGGTGGATTGAGCAAACAAGACCAATAATGAGTCCAGTGGTCAAGAAGGTGGTTTTTGCATGTGCTGTAGAAAAGTGACGAGCAGATAGAGATCCCAGCTTCTCTGGCCATTGGCCATGCTTGCTAAGGCTGATGCAAGCTGTACTTCAACAACATCTGAAGGATTACAGGTTCCCCACACCTGCTATAGAAGCTCTCTGTCAATTGAATCAGTTTGCAAATACACCTCTTAGCTGTTAGTTAACAGGTTCCTATTAATATATTTGCTTTTGTGGGTGCAGCATTCATCAGAAGAGTTCTGCAGAAGGTACTTACTGAATCTGTAACATGATTGCTTCTGCCGTTTGGATTTATTCCTTTTTTGTGCATTTTTGTGCATTTCCCCAGCCAGGGACTACTTCCCCACTCCTTCCCCCCATGGCAGCAGCAGGAGGAGAAGCCAGCCATTGAAACTCCTCCCACTTTGAACATGGGGGGCACCCTCTCCCCAATAATATGGGTTGAAGGGCTTGGCCCCTAGGAGATGGCACCCCTGATGGCATATGACGTCTTCTGCTGTTTTCTTTAGATTCTGTGTTAGGAGTTCCATTTTTGTAGGATATGAAAGTCTTTTACAGGATTGGTTTGGGAATGAAGAGATGGCACTTGATTGCATGTTTCTAATATAAGGTGCTATCCCAATAATAAAGACTGCCACACCCAGCCATAACCACTGAGAATAGGAAATTTCAAACGTCCTTTTCTCTTGACTCCCTCTGCCAATCAGACAAGGTTTGGGATAACTTCAACTCATTTGTTTAAAAAGCACTGGAAAGTTCGAATAGATATTTTCTTTCAGTAGATATCTCACAGAGATGTTCTTTCAGTAAATAAATATCAGAGGTGGGGAAGGAAGCATTGGTGATATGCTGATTTGTTAGAATTTATATCTGCAGGAAAGAGAACTCTGAAAGAGACTAAATTTAGATACTTTCCGGCATGTACAGTGTGAGGTGCAGGGTAGATGTACCTTCTGCTTATGTGCATTGTAAGTAATAGGATATGACAGACCATATCAGAGAAGAGGTGCTGATTAATGAGCAGCTCAGGAAAGGAGGTCAACAAGTGATGAAGGGTCACAATCCAATTTATGAAAGGGGGAAAGAGGAGAATCAAAGCATTAGTATGAGGAGTTAAGTAGAAAGGCCATTAATCAGCATTGCCTTTATAAAATACCAAAATGTTTTTGCTGACTTTATTCCCTTTGCAAGCCAACACTGCATATGAAAATATGAGCATATAAAACATCATCTTCAAGGACCTCAGTGCTATATAAAAGAGAACATCTATTATGAAAAGTAGAAAAATTATTACTGTATTTTTAGCAGTTATCCTTGCTGGAACCACATATGCATGATTGTATGCCTTGTTGATAAGAGATTCAGAATTTATACAAGAATATCTACACATGTTTTCACTTCTGTGTAAAGGCAAGAGTTCTTTGGTGTCAGGCTCTTCTTAACTCATTCAAGGCATGGAAGGCAACTAGAACAGGTTCAATCCCTGGCATCTCCAATTAAAATAATAATATAGCAGGCAATGTTAAAGACTTCTGCAGAGCCCCTGCAGAACTACTGCAAGTCAGAGTAGACAACACTGCACTAGATGGACAAGGCATAAGTCAGCTTCCTATATTTCTGAGTTTGGGAGCTTTATTTCTTTCTGTAGCATGCTTTGCCTTTCTTTTTTCTTTTTAAAATAAACTTTATTAAAGATCTCTTAGTTTACAAAAATACTTGCATTGTCTCTTTTTTCAAGTTGTGTTTTCTACAGATCAGTTACATTTGTTGTGAGACATTAGTGTTGCATGCAGTATTAGCTTGGGAAGAAAAGAGGGGGAAATGGGGTTATAGGGTAAAGTGGGGGTGACAATGCTTCTATTTTTCTGCTTAGTGTACGTGTGGGGTTTTGTCTCAGTGTCACTTGTGTGGGTTCTCTTTCTATTCACTTGTTATATTTCCTTGGTGGTGAGAGAGGTTGGGGGTGACCTAGGCTGTAGTGAGATTTATTTATGTGTGTGAGTGCATGAGAGGGTGGGTTTTTAGGTCAGGTTAGACATATTGATTCATATGCTGTCAACGGATTCTTGTTGTTGTCTTATTGGGCTATGTATATGATAAAGGGGAACCATACCGGGATGAAGGCGTCTTTTGTTTGTCCCCATGTCAGTTTCAGTTTATTGGTTAGTCTTTCTAGTAAGGCTGTTTCCCTACGCTGTATTGTTTTTGATATTTGGTTGGAAGCCACCCAGAGTGGCTGGGGAGACCCAGTCAGATGGGCGGGGTATAAATAATAAATTATTATTATTATAGCAATAATTTGATACCATTGGTCCATGTTTACCCCTGACAGGTCTCTCCAGTGTCTGGCTATGATGTTTCTGGCTGCTGAGAGTAGATGGGTTATGAGCTCTTTATAATGTGAGTGGGCATTATTATTTTGGAAGATGTTCAGTAGGGACAGTTCTGGGGTGACTTCTAATACTTGTTTAGTTATTTTGCTTATTTCTTGTATGACTGATGTCTAGAAGAGTTGGATTTTGAAACATTCCCACCACATGTGGAGGTATGTGGCTGTGGAGGTGCATCTTCTCCAGCATTTTGGTGAGGCTCCTGATGTATCAGTGTTAGTTTCTATGGTGTTAAGTACCATCTGTAAGTGAGTTTCAGGATGAGTTCTGTCATCCTCCTGTTGTTTTTTGATTATGTCTGTGGGATTTTGGAACAGTATTTTGTATATTGTGGATACCATCTCTTTGCCGTGTCCCTTTGTTGTTAGGAGGAGGTTTCCAAAGGTTGTCAAGGGCCTAGTTGCTGCTGTTTTTACTACTGGATTGTTTAAGAAGGCGTGTAATTGGTGGTGTGTTAGCCAGGGAATTTGGGTGTCCCCTAGTTTGTCTTGTATTTCTTGTGTTGATGTGGGTTTGTTATTTTTGTAGAAGCCTGCTAGACGATATAAGCCTTTGGGCTTGCCAGGTTTTTATCTGAAAGTTTTGTGCTGCATGATGGAATAGTGGGTGATGAGCCAGGGGGATTAGTGGGGATGGAGTTGGGGACAGCTTCTTTGCCGGCTTCTTCCTTCTATGCTTTAAGCATGGTCTGTGTGAACCTGTTTAGTGTTGTGAGGATTTTCCTTTGTTTGGGAGGAATGGGTATGCTATGGTGGGGGTATTTTTGAGTATGTCTCTCTCCAGGTGTACCCATTGTTTTGCTTCGTCTTCTAGAATGTATGGGATTATGTTGCACACTTGGTTGGCGATGTAGTGAAGGGGCAAGGTGTAGGTATTTGGGGTTTATTCTTGGTTTGTTTTGTGTGAGAAGATGAACGAGTGTAATTTTTTCTGCCATTTGCAGAGTTGGGTTGCAGGAATTCAGATTGGGAGGGTTTAGAATAGGTAGGTTAATTTTGGGAGGGTGATCATTTTGATCATGGCTATTTTGTCTGAAAGGGTGAAGTTAGTATTGTTCCAAGTCCTCAAGTCTTTGTTGATTGTCATCACAAGGGGTTGTAATTGTGGAGATATAGTTTGTTGAGGTTTCTGGTTATTTCTACCCCTAGGTATCTGTACTTGGTGCGGCAGTTTTATCTTAGTGATGTTGGCAAATTCTTTTTGGAATGGGGAATGTGTGAAACACATACCCTCGGATTTTGCACAATTTACTTGTAGGCCCGATACCATTGCAAATGTGTTGAGTTCTTCGGTTAGGGTGGTTGCTGTGTTTATGGGGTCTGGTGTTGTGACCATCAGGTTGTCTGCAAAGGGCCCTAATTTATAGGTTCTGCCTTTTATTTCCACTCCCTTGATGTCTGTGGTTGCTCCAATTTGGACTGCTAGAGGTTCCAGAGCCAGAATGAATAGAAAGGGAGACAGTGGGCATCCTTGTTTTGTGCCTCTTTGGATTGCTATGGAATTAGAGTCCATACTGTCAGTCCCGCATTTTGCTGAGGCATGGGAGTAGATTTGTTTGAGGGTTTGTAAGAAGATGGGACCAATTTTCATGTTAGTTAGTACTGCTAATAGGTATTTCCATTCAAGGCAATCAAAAGCTTTGAGGATGTCTAGGCACATAATTGTCAGTGGGAGTTTAGTTGCCTTACTATGTTTGATCAGATTCAGTAGTTTCCTAATGGGGTCTGTTACATTGTGACCAGAGACAATACCTTTCTAAAGGGACTTTGTAAATAAGGAAAAGATTGGCATTCACGGTTTCTGTTATACTTTGCCTGCACTGTACATCCAAATCTAACTAAGATTCCCACCAACCTCCGTAAGCTAATATTCAGTACACAGGGAAGAGCATTAGAACTTGGATATATTTGGATTCTGCACAATCCAATTAGAAACCTGAGAATTACTTTGCTGGATCTCAGTGCAAAGTTCATCTTGGCCAGCAGTCGGTCTCCAACAGTGACCAGCCAACTGTTCCTCAGAAATTTCCAAACAAGGCATCTTAAGAATGCCCATCCTTTTTTGTTTGCTCACATTATGGTATTCAGAAGTATATCACCACCATGATAAATAGCTATGGATACCATGAATATGTCCAGTTGTTGTAAGGTTATCTAACCAATGCTGGTCACCACTTGTTGTAATATATTTCTTAAGTTAATTGTGCATTGGTTGAAGAATGACTACTTCTTTTTCTATCCCAGAATTATTACCAGTAGTGTTATGACTCACTTGTATCTAGAATAATTTAGTATGATTTACAAACTGCTTACCCTGATTCCAGATCATTTACAAATAACTCACTTATACTTCATTTTGTTTCTTTCCAGTACAGGCACAGCTTTTCTCTGCCCCAATGAATGTCTGCGCTAGGTCTAAAACTTGGAGTGATTTACCTGAAGAGTGATACCATCAAGAAACCACTGTAAGTTAACTATGCATCCTGCGTAAAAATGTTGAGCAAAAAATGAATTTTGCAGAGAATTACAGGCTACCATATACTTCCCCCCCAATTATTGGGGGAATTTGAGTAGGTATTTTTTTAAAAAAAGCTGCAGTAGTGTTGCATTTATGGATTCCAGTTTTTACTCCTCCTAGAGGAAGTTTTTCAGATTTCTGTTTGCTGTAGGCAAATTGAGTAAGGTTCTTAATACTGTTCATAGATACATTCAGTGTTCAGTCATTAAAAGCAGTCACGAACATGTGCTGATTAAAAAGAAAAGAGTAGGTTAACACACTTAAGGAGGAATTCAAAGTTCAAGCTATTATGATTCTTCCATCAGCAAAAACATTTCTGCTTGCCAGATGGAATGATCTCCCCTCCACCTGCCTCCAGAGCCAATATGGAAGCAGGAGTGAGGAAAGCCCCATGGCACTAGCACTGTGCCCTCCTGTGGTTTCCAGCAACCGGTATACAGAAGCACACCACCTTCAGACATCTGAAGGCAGCCCTGTTTAGGGAAGTTTTTAATGTTTGAAGTTTTATTCTGTTTTTTGTGTTCTATTGGAAGCCGCTCAGAGTGGCTAGGGAAACCCAGCCAGATGGGCAGGGTATAAATAATAAATGGTGATGGTGATGACGATGATGATGACGATGATGATGACGATGATGACGACTGTGGAAGCAGAGTATAGCCATCATGGCTAGTAGCCACTGATAGCTGCCTCCTCTATGTCCAGTCCTCTTTTAAAGCCATCCAAGGTGCTTGCCATCACTGCCTCCTGTTGGAGCGAGTTCCATAATTTAATTATGTGCTATGTGAAGAAGTACTTTTTTAAAAAATCTGTTCTGAATCTTCTAACATTCAACTTCATTGGATGTCCACGAGTTCTAGTGTTTTGCACCTCTATACTCTTGATTTACACTTCATTTCATATGATACTAAAAAGATCTCCTTGCCTTTTCCTCAAATGCACTGCTACTTAAACTTTCTTTTATTAAGAACGTTTCCAGTTTGCTTGTTCCTTGTGGACCACTACATTTTTTTCAGCAATGCCACATAGGAGAATGTTTGGGAGGCTTCTGATTTAAAACACCAGTGTAATTGTATGGGATGAAGGGAAGGGGGATTTATATCTGTTCTGAATAATAGCGTCTCCACTTGATTGCTAAAAGCCTCAGAGACGTGGAACATGTACAAGCATAGCAATGCCTACCTACTACCTGGCAACAATTCCCCTTCCCCTTCACCTCCATGCCACATCAGGGTGGAGAAAGCATGGAGTTCTAATTCATCATTTGTCCCTGTTTGACCCAGAAATGGCCTCTGGTATTTTCCTCTATTGTTTTTGCTGTGGTCAAAGTGCATACCAGCAGTGGTTTGCATACTATGAATCGCTGCTTTAATGTACTGACTGAAAGTCCTTTTTGCCTGGCTTCTCTTAATTTTTCTGCCGCCGTCAAAAGAGCTTGATTCCTACAGTAGTTATAAGATGCTAGTCTGAACAACTCTTTGGTCCCTGTTCAGGCTTGATCTTTATACTTGTTTGGTCAGGTTGCCATGGAGAAGTGTCTGGTCTTTGCTGAGTTTGTAGTGTCTCTGAGTTAAGTATTACCTATCTGGAGGGAACTCACAGTCAGAGTTTTCTTTTCTCTCATCTATGAAGGGTTACATTTTGAAATAATTGGGAATGTATGTCAAAATGGAGCTGCAATACTTGGCTTGACTTACCCATTAATTTCTGCTCAGCGGAAGTTCAGAGTCAGACTGAATCTAATCTTCAAAAGTAAATTCAGAATTTACACCATATAGTGTCAAGCTGTTAAGAATGTCCAGGAGTAAACATTCTGATCAATGTTCAGAATCAAGTCTTTGTTTTAGAAGCACATTTTAAAAACACATTCATGTTGTATCAGACAGATGGGATATTTTAGCAGCTGATCAAATAAAATTTGCATTTCTGTTGGAAACCAGAGTTGGATGCTTTAATTTTTGTTAGCACTATATGGTTATATATTTAGAGAAATGTAACCCAACATCACCCACTAAGGAGGGAAGTCATCAGGGTTGTCTGAATGCTGAACTGAACACAAACACACACATACACATACACATTTTCTGCCAATATATTATATATCAAATGAAGCAGATTTGCAATATTTGCTGATTTAGCATAATTAATTCCAATTCTGCTAGTCATAGGAAGCAGCAAGGAACTGTTTTGGGTACTAAGGGTTGGCCTCTTGACCTTGTAGATCCTGCTCCCCTCTGGCTTTGGGGATGTTACCAAACATTATCCACATGTTACAGCCATAAGGACTAGAACAGTGTTTCTCAACTGGAGAGGCAACCCCCCCCCAGGGGGGACATACAAATATTTCAAGAGGGGCGTAAGTGTTTCCAAAAATATGTACAATGTATGTAAAATATTATAATAATAATTAAGTCACAATATTTCAATTCCATTGCTAGGGAAGTCAGGCTTGAAGGAGGCATGGGGTTTTTATGTTGGATGAAAGGAGGCATGAGTTTTTAAAAGTTGAGAAACTCTGGGCTATAAAATTATCCTTTTGTTGAGAAAGATTTACAGGATGCTGAATTCTATTTCAAGTACTAAGTTTTGTGCCTTTCCTTGTTTGGAATCACAAAGTGCAACCCTGTCATAATGCTTGAAAATGAGTATAGGGTGATAGTTAAAAGCAAAAATCTTCAATAAAAACGGAGATAATAGAACATTTAAAAGCATGGAGTTGACAATGCCCCAAAATGTGCTCCTTTCTCTCTCTGAAACATATGCCAACTAAACCACAACTCACTGCAGTCCTTGATTAGTTGTAAGAGAATATGGTACATATATAGAAGAAGAATAAAAAAACAGAAGGCATCATTTTTAATTGAAAACTATTGACATTTTATGGGATTTTGTAAGAAGAGCAACAGCAACTGAGGAAAAGCTCAACAGATTGTTTTAACTAGGAATATTTCAAAGTGCTAAATATATACTGTTTGGTTAAATGATGATTAGCAAATTTAAGAACAATTTTTACAAATATTTGAAGTGTGTACCTATAAATGGGTAAAAGGCTACTGAAAGTGGTGTACAAAGAATAATAAGATAATGTTTTTTTAAAAAAAAAAGCAGAGAAAACTGCCCAATACTGGTATCTGGAATACTCAGATATTCCTAGTTAAATATATACAAAACAAGAGCAATGCACTGGTCCTTGGAGATAGGTAAGTGATGGTCTCCTCTACATCTGTCTACTACAGATGTAGAGCAGCTAAAATGCTGTGCCTGTCACTTCCTAAAACCATAGGAAACATGGAGGGTGGGGGGAGAGGGAGAAGAGTCTATTGAGCAAATAGAAATCCTTGCATTGATGGGACATTCACATAACACTACTCTGTACACAACCCAGTGCATAACACAGAAACACAGAAGTGATTTAATCTAAAAGCCTATCTTAAAGCAGTGTTAGTTCGAAAGCACGTCAAAGTACAAGTAGATAAATAGGTGGGAAGGTAAACAGTGTTTCCGTGCGCTGCTCTGGTTTCGCCAGAAGCGGCTTAGTCATGCTGGCCACATGACCCGGAAAAACTGTCTACAGACAAACACTAGCTCCCTCGGTCAGTAAAGCGAGATGAGCGCCGCAACCCCAGAGTCATCTGCAACTGGACTTAACTGTCAGGGGTCCTTTACCTTTACTATTTTAGTCTACCAAGATTGACATTGCAATAAACATGTTAGGACAGGATTCAACTAAGTTATTGTGTGTGTGGAATGAAGTCCACTTGCACAAAGGGATTCCCCTGCTCCCCTTAATCTGACGTGGAGTGTTGGCGAGACCCCCAGATCTGCATGCTGGAGGGCACACAGGAGGAGATGGGTGAAAGTCCCACTGCATAAGCAGACCTCGTTCCCCATGTGCATACTCCATGTAGTGCTACCTTGAATGCCACCCTTTCAAGGTAACACAAGCTTTTTGTTTTGTTTTGTTTTGTTTTGCTTGTTATACTTGCATCCTACCTTCTAGCTAGAAATACGTTTTAGACTCAAAGTAACAGGATTTGAGTGAGTGAGTGACTTGTATAGTAATTTATTCTTTTTTTAAAAAAAGCCTCAAAGTGATTTACAATGTTCATAATGCAATATGATAAAAACATTAAAACAATGCACAATACTAGTGCAGTAATCTTTTTTAACACACACACCAAAGCCTTGGTGACTTCAGTTTGCAGGTAATCTTGGCATGAAAAACCTCAGTGTTTGCCCGGTATTCCTCTTGGCTGTGTGGATGCTAGGTTTTCTTTTGATGTAGTCAAGCAACATGCTTATTTACTCCATCTGTTTACCCAGTCCCTTCTCTTTTCTTTACCATGGCTTTTAAAGGAAAGGAGAAGAAGGGAATATTTATTTGCTCTGCCAATTTGCTTTACTTGAGCTTTCATTTTCCGGCTGAGCAGAAGCTTCATTGGGCTGTATAATTTTAACACTTAGGGCAAAGATTCATTTTTTATTTTTTATTTTTAAGGGAGCTTAGCAGACTAACCTCTGGCAGGGTGACCAGGAGGAAGATTCTAAAGGAAGTTCTCTCTGTTTGTAATGTAGCCTTGCGCTAGCTGGTCCTCTGCTGCCCTCTGAAGGCTTACTGCTGCAATTGGCAGCCACCGAGGTTTCACAAGAACTTTCACATGCTGTGCTCTCTCAAACATACCAGACTTATATAATTTCTTTATATAACCAGAGACAATGTTCTTGATTAATAGAAAAGTGGCTTTGCTCCCTATTGTGCGATAAGGTGCTTTCCTGAATATTTCTTCATTTCTGAATCCTTTACAGTACAAAATTGTTTTTCTCACACTTTTGTGAGAGAAAACTTTTTATGAGGGGAAAGGGGAAGCAGAAAATAGAATCATTTTCTAAGATAAATGGCTTTGTTTTTAATGAATCTGTGCTTTTTCCGATTATAATTTTTTTCTCCTT